CTGCTCTCCCTTCCTATCCCATTCTCGCTCTCCCTCCCTCTCCCCTTCTCTCTCTCTCCTCTCTCCTTTTCTCTCTCTCCCGTTCCTATCCCCTTCTCCTCTCCCTTCCTATCCCCTCCTCTCTCTCCCTCCCTCTCCCCTTCTCTCTCTCCCTCCCTCTCCCCTTCCTCTCTCCCTCCTCTCCCCTTCTCTCTCTCCCTCCCTCTTCCATTCCTCCTCTCTTCCTCCCTCCCATTTCTCTCTCTCCCTCCCTCTCACTTCTCTTCCTCCTCCTCCTCCCTTCCTCTCTCTCTTCCTCTTTCCTCACATCATCTCGTCTAGCAATCTTTCTGACCTGTTTTCCAATTCCTCACCACCAGAGATGGTAACCCGGCCATTTCTTAACACGGGGTAATTTAGAAGCAAATAAAACAAGACTGCATGGCACACCAAGAGTAACCATTGTAACGAAATGTCTATAAAACTAAATCATATTGCTCTCCGTGCTTCCCTTTCTCTATCTTTTTCTTTGTAACTTCCTCTCTCATTCTACCTCTCTCTCTTCTTTTTCTCTTGAATTTATTACATATCAAGGTATTTGGACTATACGACAGTTTTGTAACAAGATATATACAGTATTTTTCAAGGTTAATAGTTATATATATTTTCAAGAAAATAAACTCATTTAAATCCAAACCATGAAAACCTACAAAAAAAGTAAGGATTATTATACATATCTATTCAAATCATATTGTTTAGAACAAAGTTCCACGGAGTCGAGACTGCTCTCAGGCTTATCTTACAGCACTGTTCCTGTGGTCAATTTGAGGTTTTGCTTGTGCACTTGTTCTTCAGTCCATCTTCCACGTTTGCACTTCTCTGTCATCCTCGTACTTCTGGGTCCTCGTAGACGCCGTGCCTATACCCCTCATCCAGGCCCTCTGACAGTGTGCTTGTCCGGAAGTCCTCGGGCGTCCTTGGTCTTGGCCGGGTATATGGGCGTCCCAGCAGCGCACTATCGACGCATCCTGGAAGGACCTTGCATGCATCGGTGCCCAAACTCTTGGACCATAATAGTGCACATAGGGCCAAGATCGAAAGAGGAAACAGAATGGCAGCAGAAGTGGGGATGTGTACACCTAATTTTTGTCTTTCTTTGAAGATAATTTTCTCTTTTTCTATGTCTGGGGACTTTCTTGAACGACAAGCCATCCCAGATAGAAATGAAAATTAAATATTCCTTTTTTTTTTTTTTTTTTTTTTTTTTTTTTCCCCCCCTTCCTCTCCCCTTCTCTCTCTCCCTTCCTCTCCCCTTCTCTCTCTCCCTTCCTCTCCCCTCCTCTCTCTCCCTTCCTACCCCCTTCTCTCTCTCCCTTCCTATCCCCTTCTCTCTCTCCCTCCCTCTCCCCTTCTCTCTCTCCCTCCCTCTCCCCTTCTCTCTCTCCTCCCTCTCCCCTTCTCTCTCTCTTCCTCTCTCCTTCTCTCTCTCCCTTCCTATCCCCTTCTCTCTCTCCCTTCCTATCCCCTCTCTCTCCCTCCCTCTCCCCTTCTCTCTCTCCCTCCCTCTCCCCTTCTCTCTCTCCCTCCCTCTCCCCTTCTCTCTCTCCCTCCCTCTTCCCTTCTCTCTCTTCCTCCCTCTCCATTTCTCTCTCCCTCCCTCTCCCCTTCTCTTTCTCCCTTACTATCCCCTTCTCCTTTCCTATCCCCTTCTCTCTCCCTTCTTATCCCCATCTCTCTCTCTCTCCCTCCCTCCCTCTACCCTTCTCTCTCACCCTTCCTATCCCCTTCTCTCTCCTTTCCTATCCCCTTCTCTCTCTCCCTTCCTTTCTCCTTACTCTCTCCCTTCCTCTCCCCATCTCTCTCTTCCTTCCTATCCCCTTCTCTCTCTTCCTTCCTCTCCCCTTCTCTCCCTCCCTTCCTCTCCCCTTGTCTCTCTCCCTCCCTCTCCCCTTCTCTCTCTCCCTTCCTCTCCCCTTCTCTCTCTCCCTTCCTCTCCCCTTCTCTCTCTCCCTTCCTCTCCCCTCCTCTCTCTCCCTTCCTATCCCCTTCTCTCTCTCCCTTCCTATCCCCTTCTCTCTCTCCCTTCCTATCCCCTCTCTCTCCCTCCCTCTCCCCTTCTCTCTCTCCCTCCCTCTCCCCTTCTCTCTCTCCCTCCCTCTTCCCTTCTCTCTCTTCCTCCCTCTCCATTTCTCTCTCCCTCCCTCTCCCCTTCTCTCTCTCCCTTCCTCTCCCCTTCTCTCTCTCCCTTCCTCTCCCCTTCTCTCTCTCCCTTCCTCTCCCCTCCTCTCTCTCCCTTCCTATCCCCTTCTCTCTCTCCCTTCCTATCCCCTTCTCTCTCTCCCTCCCTCTCCCCTTCTCTCTCTCTTCCTCTCTCCTTCTCTCTCTCCCTTCCTATCCCCTTCTCTCTCCCTTCCTATCCCCTCTCTCTCTCCCTCCCTCTCCCCTTCTCTCTCTCCCTCCCTCTCCCCTTCTCTCTCTCCCTCCCTCTCCCCTTCTCTCTCTCCCTCCCTCTTCCCTTCTCTCTCTTCCTCCCTCTCCATTTCTCTCTCCCTCCCTCTCACTTCTCTTCTCCCTTCCTCTCCCCTTCTCTCTCTCCTTCCCTCTTTCCCTCACATCATCTCGTCTAGCAATCTTGCTGACCTGTGTTCAAATCCCTCACCACCAGGAGATGGTAACCCCGGCCATTTCTTGAACACGGGGTAATTTAGAAGCAAAATAAAACAAGACTGCATGGCACACCAAGAGTAACCATTGTAACAAATGTAATAAAACTAAATCATAATTGCTCTCTGCTTCCCTTTCTCTATCTTTTTCTTTGTACTCCCTCTCTCATTCTACCTCTCTCTCTTCTTTCTCTTTGAATTTATATACATATCAAGGTATATTGGACTATACGGACAGTTTTGTACAAGATATATACAGTATTTTTTCAAGGTTAATAGTTATATATATTTTCAAGAAAATAAACTCATTTGAAATCCAAACCAATGAAAACCTACCAAAAAAATACAGGATTACTTATACATATCTATTCAAATCATATTGTTTAGAACAAAGTTCACGGAGTCGAGACTGCTCTCAGGCTTATCCTTACAGCACATGTCCTGTGGTCAATTTGAGGTTTGCCTTGTGCACTTGTGCTTCAGTCCATCTTCCACGTTTGCACTTCTCTGTCATCCTCGTACTTCTGGTCCTCGTAGATGCCGTTCCTATACCCCTCATCCAGGCCCTCCTGGACAGTGTGCTTGTCCGGAAGTCCTCGGGCGTCTTGGTCCTTGGCCGGGTATATGGGCGTCCAAGCAGGCGGCACTCTTCGACGGCATCCTGGAAGGACCTGTGCATGCATCGGTGCCAAACTGTTGGACCAGAATAGTGCACATGGGCCAAGATAGAAAGAGGAAAAGAAAGGCAGCAGAAGTGGGGGATGTGTAACACCTAATTTTTGTCTTTCTTTGAAGATAATTTTCTCTTTTTCTATATCTGGGGGACTTTCTTGAACGACAAGCCATCCCAGATAGAAATGAAAATTAAATATTCCTTTTTTTTTTTTTTGCATTTCCCCTTTATTTGCTTAACTGATTGCCAGTAAATAAGGAAGATGGTATCAGTAATCAGTTTAGTGATTTTATAGAGAATAAGTTCCAAACACGAAAGGTGAAAATTCATAATGATATTAATGAAAGAAATAGCAAATAACATTGTTAAAATACCAACTTGATTTTAACATAGTGACTCGGGCCAAGATGTACGCATTTATAACAGTTCCCGGCTCAGAATCGTTCCACAGAAATCAAGGTTACCAAACGTTTCCAGGCTGGCACCCCCTGGGCTTCCAAGTGGATTTCTAGCAAACCCCCTACATACACTTGCGAGTACCACCTTTTCATATTTTGGCTTGCTTCAAATTGAAAACAAGATTAAACACAAAGACGTATTTCACAAATAGAACCTAATTTAGTAAAACAATTTAGCTGTTTTATCAGTGTCAGCAATGTGGAAAGGCAAGTCAACATCTCGCCAGTAACCGTATTAACATAGTTCATTGTCTTCACAGTTACTGTTAATGGGTTAGATGTGCTTAGTGCATATTTTGTCAATAAAATATTGTGAAAAAAGCTATTAAATGCTCCTAAAGCCATCCTGCCACCCCACTCCTACCGCCCCCTTTTGCTTCACCGCTCGCCAAGATTTTACCACCGCCCCCAGGGTGGCGGTACCGCCCACTTTGGGAACCAATGTTTAAGATCTTTGAATAATCAATTCCGATGTATGTCATGTCTAGCATATCAGGCTACGCAAGACTTCGTTGACAGGGGTAGGAGTTGAATTGATATACAAGCACGCACGTCCATTGCTGCTTCTGCCACGGGAGTTCTGCAGGCGCCCAGAGTGCTGCCGTCTTGCAGTTCAGGATGCCAGACGCGACGGAGCGAATCTAGCGAGCCGAATAGAAAATCCAGGGACCTGCCAACAATTCCCCGTGGATCCCCGGTGCTTTCTTGCCAAGTTTCCACATAGAACCGGCAGTGAAACCGGCAGTTCTTCTCTGGGAAATTCATTGTTCCCAATCACAGAACAAAACAGAAGCAGGCGCAATCGTACAGTTAATGAGACAAGAGAAGGCAGCCAAGCAACAAGTTCAAACGCGTCAAAACATGCTTCCTCTCAGACTTCCCATCCAGCACCAAAACTTCTGGTGTAGTGAATGCAGCTGTCATTACCTTGTGTACATACATACATACATACACACGCGCGCGTGTACGTGTGTATGTGTTCGTATGAATATTTCATTACACTGTCATCAGTCTATCAATTAGCCCATCTAGGCTGATTGAGAGAGCAGACATATATCGAACTGTTGCAAATCTGCAAACTGACACGCCTCCCAAGCACCTTTTAGAAAGAGATGTCGCCAAATGTAGAGGCGAGATAAGCATTGCTCCGTCGGCTCTTATCACGAGGGTACGTGGAGGCGCTGGGGACGAAGGGGAGAGGTGGAGGAGGGGCAACGAGGAGAGGGG